TCGATTGCTGAATCGATTGAAGCGGAATTTGGCAGAGACGTGAAAAATATTCATCTAGAAGGCGTGACAAAATCTCGAGCAATAATCGAGACCATAAAATAAGTTATCCCTATTTCAAACGTCAGTGAGGATCGTAAAACCGTCTGACTGTTCTGATGTTGAAAAGAAAAGAGGGTGTGTGAATAATCTCGGGTAACACAATAGTACGCATGTCACTGTTAAGCGACAATGGTTCAACTAACCTCAAGATGTCTTAGTGTTTGGAGTTACCAGACAAACAAGAGCGTCTGACAAGCGTCTCCTAAACGTACGTTCAGTTGGCTGGACGATATGTGCAGTGTATATTACAGTTGCATTTCTGTCTTTTGGATGAAATCTAAATTCTTTCGGCCATGATTTCTAGCACAGGATGTCCCATTTTATGGCTCACACTGTCGGTAGATTACAGAAGTGACGCGCTGCAGCACAGGCTGTATGACGGAGATTGTTAGACAATATAAAGTAGAGAGTAGGGATACCTGAACAGTTTACCACTATCGGTTATGCAGTTTTTGATGCCGACCACATGGATTAAACCTGCGCCTGTTTATTGCATCTCATGCCATCGTGGCCCCAACGCGTGGGCGCTACTCACATAGATCTACCCTCCATTGAAATACCCGAGAGATTTTGGAAGAATCGTTATAAAAACTACCGAGATCTGATACGACTTTTAGAACTGTCCAAGTGTCCTCGGAGAAGAACAGGCTTCTTTGTATCGCGTAGTCAGACTGTAAAGTTGCTTGTGTTTTAAGATGCGCATCACACGAAAATTAGACAAAGTATAGTATACGTACACCTAATGCATATCTGTCTAGGAATCTGAAGTTTGTTACGAACTACATGTCATTTTAAAACTTTACTCATACGCATGAATACTTCCATTTGAATGAGGCACCGATGCGACGTAACGCTCCGCCAGTCCTCAAACTTTTACAGTAATGGGCCGTTTTATCACTTTTGTGTAGCCCCTTAGACCAGAGGAGATCTGACCAACAGAACACGCTCGCGTTCTAAAAATAGCGTTGTCTTGCTGTGTATGTATATTCAATACTCAAAAGAGCGCATTACGGAGATTTCGCATTCTTTATGCATGAACCTTTTATGCACAGTGCTGGACAGCTCCGAATAAACTTTTAAGCTCAACTTCAGAAATTTCTCGTTGAGTGAACATCGCTCACTTTAGGAATTTTTACGGTCAGGCCTCTCGTTTATCGTACTATTGAGTGCGAATCAATCCAGGCCAGATTGGGCGCGGTTGCAACGCCTTAAAATCCAATTTCAAGGGACGTTGAATTTCATACCGTGAACTATTCTTCTGTCTTTCGCCGATAAAATTCATGTATACACGGCACAAGACGATTGCTCAGTGGCGGAGTTAGCCGGAAAGTTTAAAAAACTTGCGGCTATTACTGAAACAAAGAACGCGTTCCAAGAAAACTTTGCACAATTTTGAAATAGTTAGCCTACCGCTTTAGGCTCCTGTTTAAAATACATGAGCCTTACACGAAAACCGGGCGAATGCAAATCTCGATTATACGCTCGCCATATATGTAATCTGACGAAAACGCTGAACCGAACAAGAGGATGGGAACCGACATATCAAAGAGTTTCCTGAGAAGCCTACACACAGCTGATCAGAGCCATTGCTATCCGATCTGGAAAAAGGAGTTCACTTTGTCGCATCGCATTTCTTGAAATATGGACATAATTATACCAAAATACGAAGAGCCATTCCTCAAAGTTTTAAAAGTTTATATTTTTAAAAGCCCTGAAATTAGCAGTGTTTTGTATTAGTTGATTGGCTAAATTTCACTGCGATTGCGGCTAGTTTTAAGGAAGAGCATTTCTTGGCGTTTTCTACCATTGAGAACTAGAATGGTGGATGAATTTGTGATACATCTTGCAGGGTCTTACTTTTAAAACCATCTGAATAGGCTGTTGCTTGGCTCTAAGACAGTGGTTCCTAATACCGTCTACTTTGAGTTGTCTTAGGAAAACAGCGCCGATACTAGCTGGTAGCCGGGAACAACCTTGGAAACTGAATCCGAGCCCTACAGTTCGTTGGGCTGCGCGGTAGTTAAAGCACAACTCCTGCATGAATGGAACACTAGTCTACCACGCGTCTGCGGTTTCATTCGTCTTGTGCCTGGCATAACAGAATTTCTTTCTATTTTTCTTTTTACAGCGAATGAATCAGCTCAGATGACTGCCACAGGATCGGTCCATCTTGAAATTCCTTACGCACTTTAAGAAAACCAGATAGTTACATACTCACCACATGCTGGATCAAACGCTCATGAAGGCAAAAGGTAATGAAAACACTGTTAACACATGACACTCGAGTCAAATCATGTTGGTGTCATATAAACCTCTATAAAGACGTAGATTTCTTAGAGCTCCTCTTTGAATGTTGAGAAAAATCGTCCGCTTGTCCGCCTTATCAGGTTGAAGGACTATGATCTGTGTAACGACTGAGAGCCAAAGAATCGTTGGCCAATAACGTACGTATTTGAATCGGTTGATCCTGCCGCGTGATTGTTTTATCCGACAGCTGACTCTTACCGGTTATTTTCACTCCACTTTCTATGTTTGGTTCGACCCTATCGTTAGATTTTGCTTCCCGTCAAACGCAACTTCACTCAAATGGACATTTCGCTCTCCAACCTTTTCCGACAGCTGCGGGGTACCATGAAGTCAGGGGTCACACTGTGCTTCGTACGATTCTAGCATGAACCGCT